GGAAAAATATATATTTGGGAATAATTTAATATACAATCCATACGAGGACCCAGAATAAAAAAATATGCACAAAAATCTTATGTAAAAAATATCACTCTCCGTTTACTATTTACTTTTATTTTTTACATTTTATTTAATATCGATCCCGCCAGAATTGTCATATTCGCGAACGGAAATTATTACTGATACAGTTTATTAGAACATGCGTGTTCTCAAATATCGGAATCGAATTGCGCAATATGCGTTCCAAAATTATAGCTCGCAGCGGATACTTATATCCGTGGCAATATGCTTTACAGACCATGATACGTCGTCGTTTCCTCTTGACACGTTTCCAGTAAATCTTCTGTATTCGTAGTCATAAATTCTGCTCATGGATTTAAATTGTAACTGATTGATTTATGCCTCTAATTAAACTTACCGTGTAAAAATTAACGCTACCATTTGTTTTACGGTTTACAATACTATACACCAGATAAAGCTCATGAGTTTTCTCGAAATATTTTTGCTACATTATTATTTTTAACCAGATTATTTATTTAAAGAGATTTATTAGAAATTTATTAATTTATTTTAAAAAAATTATAAATTTAATATTTTAGTCCTATAAATTTTACTATTTTATTATATCTGGTCTAAAATACGAAAAGAAACAGAATTTATTGTTTAGCGAGAATAATTCATAAAAATATACATATATAATATATAAGGCTTCAAAAAAAGACGTTAATAAGAATAATATCTGTAATTATGAAAGAATCAATAACGCACATGATTACGATCGCATAAATTTAATCAGTATATTAGAACCAATAAAAATAATATTGTCATTTCCTGCGTTATTAAGAGCTTAGCAAAGATAGGCGAGTTTCTAGGGAAATCATTAGCATTTCGTCGAAACATAAGACTCGACTTAGTGTTTGTCATATAAACTGTAGTACTTTACAGCACATGAAGTAAAATGAGTGGGTGACTGTGGTGCGCGCGTTACTTATGACTTTGCGACGATGGAGAATGCAAAAGGAGCGATAAGAGGAACAAGAAAACAGTGACGATGATGACGAGGTAGGTGAAGGCAGTGTAGGATGAGAAAAAAAAGTGAATAAAGGGAGCCGCGTTTACGACCATCGTTAAATTCGCTCTGACCGATCTGTGTGATTACATTGATGCTGCTTACTGTAAAAGCGACACTAATCCTTTCGAATGTTCACCCAACTATTAGGGGATCGTGAATCCTCGCTCGTTTTCCTTGCTTATGTGACGTTAAATTGACGAGGATCGATTTTTTTAAGTCGAAAAAGAGATTATGCATTTTTTGAAGAGGGTAGATGCTTTAATGAATCTATCGCATATATCGATTATCGAGAGCATCTTTTCCCGAATTAATTTATAATATGAAGAAAAATATTAGAAGAAATTGTGTATTATATTTATGGACATTTAATTTTTATGTAATATGTATATTTTTTGAGAAAGCAGATTGTGTGGAAAGTAAGATCAAAATAGAAATTTGTCTTATCGAGCGTTCTAAAGATGCACATATTTATTATTATATATTTTGTAATATTGTATATTTTATATATATTTGTATACTTTTTGCATATTTTCATATATTTTATTTTAAACAATTTTAATATATAAAAAATAGTTTTTTTTATAAGAACATATTTAGCCATATCTTGCATATATCACGAATATTATTTTATATATATTTTGCATACAAAATGTATATGTTGGTATGCATTATTGGATATTGTAAATAATTTAAATCATATAATTACTATTTAATTTTTTTAACAACATATTCTACATAAAAAATTCGATATAGAAGATCCAATCATATTTCACACATGGATGCATTTTGCAGATGCAAAAAGTATGAAACAAGCGATACGGAAAAATGCAGTGTCGTCGTGCTTATATTGGTGGAACGCAAAGTGACACACGGATCTTGCAATTTCGCGAAACATTCCAGCCTCAACATATAATATAGCCGACAGAAACGTCATCATGGCCTCCCGCCAGAAACGCTTTATCGTTTATATTGAAGAGAAAAAGAAAAAAAGATGAGTACGAAATGTACGTAGCAACGAATTCCATCGTTCGGTCTCCATGGTCGGCACAAAGAGCGAGCGTCCAACAAGGAGATCAACTTACTTTCAACAACCCTAATCACGGGCTGGAAGCAATCAGTATGCCGAGATAGCCGACAAACCTTGCCGACGTTTTAATTACCGCTTCCATTTTCATATCTTGAGTATCGGTGCACCGTTTAGCGAGCCGTACATTTTTACATGGTCATTTTACGACCAACCGTTGCGCTGCTAATGCTGTTGATGCTTCTCGATTCTAACGATGGAGTGCATTCATCCAATAAATCTGGATTTCTCCAGGATCTCGAGAATCGATGTCTTCATCTCACGTATCGGATAATTTACATGGTAAAAATAACCGGTTTATTTCGTAGAGCAAATTTTTTTTCCAGATTTTATATATGTGGCATACGTTGATATTTACCAATACGATTTAAATACCCATACGATTTAATTTTGAAATATTAAGCGTTATAAAATTGAGACATTCACATATGGATATATCTTAACTCCATTTCGACGATAATAAAGACAGTTTGCAAAAACGCCTCATAAATGTGACCACATATTATTATTAAATTTTATTTTTCTCTTCTTCAATTTATTTGAGTATCAGTAAAAACATAAAAAGTTAAATCTGACAATATCTCATTATTTTCATGCAAGAGAAGAAACTATTCGAATACAAGATATTAAAGATGTTATTTATCTAATTGGAAAAAAAGAAGAAAGGAAAAAAAAAGAAAAAAAAGAAAGAAAAAGAAGAGGAAGAAGAGAAGGAGAATATTAATAACAATAACAATTAATTATCTATAGCTTTCTATATTGGTCGTTTTCGTGTCCTAGTATGTAAGCTTTGTAACTACATTAACATGTCATTTCAATCGGCCTATCAATTTTCTATAAACGTAGAAGAAAAGAAATTTTCTTTACGAAGCATCTTATGCTTTATTTGGGAAAAAAAATATATCTTTATTAAATTAATATTAAATTTTTGTATATTATCTTTCTATGAAAAATAATCCTCCTTTTTTTCATCTTTAGATGCATTTTTTTAAGAAAAAAATTCTCAACATAGAAATATCGTTCAGAAAATTTATTGAAAATTATCGCAAATGTATTGAAAATTTATAGATCATTTACATTTTTAGATAAAGAATCATTGTCGAACGAAAGAAGATTTGCTTTTCGATTTAAAAGAATAATGTGTAAAGTATTTAACTAACTTCCTAATTTAATAATATTCGTGAATTCAATTTTCACTATCGTAAATATGAAAATAAAATTATCATATGAATTATGCAATAAAGTATATATAAAATATACATAATTCATGTAACAGTTTTATTCTCATATTCTGTAAATTACAGTTACAATTAAATATTTATTACGAAGACAATATAAATAACACAATATATAATATATATTGCAATAATAGTTTTATCAAAAAGATCTGTAATTCAATTAAAATAATACTAATTGTAAGTCAATATCATAAAAAATAATGTAAGAAAAGAATTTAATATGAAAAAAAAATTTAGTATGAAAAAATTTCTTCGTAATTTCATAGTTAAGAACTTTATTTTTGAACAATATATAATATTTTGTATATATTACTTACTATATTTTATCTTTTGAATTTTTTACGATTTAAAATTTTATTTCGTAAATATAAACGTGCATGCATTTAGAGCTTATCTCAATATGCAAACGATGAGATACAAGAAATCCTTGAAACGTATCGGTAATTAATCGAGATTTGCCGTAATCTCTTTGGGATGCCAGCGAACGTATGAGAGCGAATTAAATGTAAATACCGTAGGCAGCTTATCTTTGAGGCAGCACGCGTAATCCCTGATAGCCGATTGGTGTCGAGTTTTGAATCCTGCTTTCTCACGAACAGCAAAGCTATTTTCTCTAAATCGAACGACAAAAACGATAGCCGACTATCGTGAACAAAAATGGAATGGGAGTCTGGTCAGCACTCGTAAATTCGATTCTTTATAGTGCTGTCATCGTTAAAACTGAGAAAACGGAAAGGGCCCGTCGTCTCAAGTTCTGCACATCTTATACGCGTCCTGAGCGGCCGCTTTGATGAAATTAATCGCAAAATCGATATTAATGAAAAATCTTTCATAACAAATGCGATATAATAATCCTTTCTTTATATAGTTTGCCTCATTTTACACGATAATTTAATACGATAATATTAATATGCAATGTCTTTGGTAATTTTAATCTTTTACAATTTAATTATTATTAATATTGATTGCTATTCTGTCTTGTGCGCTTTTTCGTATATGACTAATATTTACAAAAAATATTTCTCATGAAAAATACACGATTCAGTGAATTCAATATCTAATAATGTCGGGCAACGATTATATACTAGCGCTGCGAATAAAAAACTATTTTTCTTTATAATTATGAATGTTAAAATGGAAAGTAAAGGGGAGAAAAAAAAATTGAGCAAAAAAGAGAATGAAAAAGAAGGAACGGGAATCGGAAAAAGGATGAGCAGCTTCCTGATCTAAATGCTATGGTTTGCCGGGCTCTCAGAAGAAAGAGCATTTTATAGCTTAGAATTTATTTTATGTGTGCTGGATTTGTGATTACGACTCGGACTCTCAACGATCCAAACAAAGGAAGGGCACCTCTAGTAACTATAATTTATGTTCTAAAGTAAAAGTTAATCTTTTCTCACTTAGCGTCCATATCGAATTCAATTTCATTAGTCGGGTTTTGCACGTCACGCATAAATAATCTCGCGAAATATATTAGTTCCGATCTATTTGTGTATAGATACATCTATACAATTAGAGCGATGTAGATCGTGTTTCAAAATTGAAATAATGATTTTTACAGAAATTGCAAAAGAATATAAGTAAATAAAAAAGTAATACTTACCGAGTACAGTATGGAGTATATATATGAGTAGATTTAGGCATGTTAGGATACGGAATCATACTCGTCGGCCTCAATAACTCAAAGGACCAAGGCAACAATGGATTCTGCGGATCTATTCCATTAAAGCATTGTGCAAAGTTCTCATGTAGATATTTTCTGTAATTGATTTCTGCATGTGATTCTATCACTCTGCGGATTTCGTGACTGACTGAAAAAGAAAACAAAATAATTGTATTGTCGTGTATAATGATAAAACTGAAGATTTATTTGAAATTAATACAAATCAAGAATTATCATAAATGCTGCTTTGCAACACACTATTAAAATTAATTTATGCATATGAATGTATCAAGAGCCATATAATTTAATATATAAGCTTAGTAATATTTTTTTATTTAAATTTTTTTAATCGCAAATATATAAACTGCAAATATTTTTAAATCGCAAATATATAACTGATTGTAAATTAATAATTAAATAATTTAGAGCTGATAAATGTACAAAAATATGCAAATACGTATAAAAATTTTCTATAAGAAACATATATGTTGCTAGTAACATTTTAATATCTATCGAACACATTCAATAAAAATCATTCGGTTTAAAATGGACCGGATATCGAGATTTTTTCTCATAAACGAGCCACATGAATGCAATTTCGCTTAATAGTTACCGCTTTTGTGCTTTCATTGCTTAATTGATGATATTTAATTTTAATTATCGCCTCCTACAGGAATTATGAATACTGTTCACTGTTAGAAGAGTCTCCCATGTTTCTCGAATTTCCTTCAATATAAACTTATCAGTTAAGGACATAAGCGATCTAAATTATTTATTCTCATGATTGCCAGAATACGCTTCTGGCACTTATTAAAATGAATCAATTTATGGCATCATCGAATGATCAGATATCACGTACAATTTGCGATGCTCGATTTGAAAAATTCTTGTTTTGTACATTTCTTATATCAAATAAATTATGTAGGAATGTATAAATAAATACGAACAATTATTGATACTTAAATAAAAAAGATTATTTTAATATTTAACATTTATTTAAAATTGATCTACAGAACAAGATAAACCCGAAAAAAAACGAGAATTTTGTTGCTCGAAAAGAGAAAATTATCCAATCTAAACGAATTTTATCTTTTAATTTCAGACATAAATTACAAGTCAAATCGTAGCAGCCTCTTGTGAAGTATGCACGATAATTACGAAGGTACTTGGAAATTACGATAAATTATACGCAAGACTGGAGAATTTATACGCTGAAAATTATGCGACAATTTCAATTCGCGCGAAGGGTTCTCACTTAATGTCAATAATTGGCGGTTTAACATATTGCGAATGTTGCTTGATTGCGGGGATGTATTTTTGCCGATATTTGACGACACGATCGATTTATAACGCATCTATCATAACGTCGTAACTTTAAAGTACGCCTCTGCATACTTATTTACAGATTACGTTCAGCTTCTCTCCAAGAAAGATCTGATGCTTTTGATACTTAAAAGCGCAGTTTATGATACATCAATAATTCTGTCGATTATTGCACCTCTCAACCTATAATCCCATCGTTAAAGTTTTGTGCTATTGTAATAAATTATTTCTAAGAAATAAGAAAATAAGGAACTTTGCAAAGTTAGTCTATTGCGTAACTCGCGTTTGTTAACGCAAATAATATACAGGTGCGCGCTCAGTGTGTATTCGTAAAATATAATTAATATTCGTATAAATAAATATCACAACAAATGTAATAAAATGATATTTAATATTTCGTTTAAAACTGAATAAAACTGAAAAAATATAATATTCGTATAAATATTATAAAAATCACAACAAATGTAACAAAATATTTAATATTTTGTTTAGAACTGAATAAAACAAGATATAAAATAATACCGAAAAATAAAATCCTATAATAATTTTATTTTTCTCTCCTTCGTTTTTTGACAGAGAAGAGAAAAATAATTTGCATAAAGAATATTCATATCACATATACAAGATGAGCCATTTTAATCTTCTCATCTAAATATCTTTTTTCCTTTCTGTTTCTTTTATAAAAAAATGTTGAATAAGTGTATTTTAGATTATATATATATTTTTTATATAATATAATATATAAAATACATTTTTGTTTCGTTTTATTTAAATCTACCATGATTACATCGCAGTCATGCTTAGGGCAACAATTTTCTTAGCAACATCTTGGTGTTTTGCGCAGACTGCACGTTCGAAACATTATCGGGCACTCGATTTATGCCGTGCACCTCGGGCAACCGGTGTGATTATCAACAAACTCGTCCGTGGAGAACGTATTCTCGAGATTTATTACGAGTTTCAGTTTTCTACATATGTTCAACGAGGATCACACGTCGGCCGTAAGTGAGAAACTTTTCGAGACACGTCCGTCCAGATACGTGCAATTATCTACAACACGCGCAAAAAATAACAACCTGATACCACGCGATACGCATTATGTAAAAAGCGCATTTATTACGAAAATGAGAGCTAAAAGACTATCCAACGCGGCTGAATCCGACTAACATAGAAAGTATTCGTAAGCCACAAAAGTGCAACTTGCCTCGTAAATTACATTCAACGACGTAGTCCCGTACACGCTTGTTTTGCCCGATCCTTCTCGCGAGAGTTGTTCGCAATCGCGCGACTTTTTAATGCTCCATCGGCGCGTGTATAAACACCGATACACGAAACAGGAATCTCTTATCTACTTAAACCGCGAGACACGAAAAACACTTGCGATTGGAATAAGAAAATTGCGCTTGTGAAGAGTGGTACGACGATTTATAGCATCATCCCCAGAGAGAAAAATATAAGATGCGTCATTAAAGAAAGTCATTTTATAAATTTCATAAATCCCTTAATTTTTTTCCTTCAAACATAATAAATCCGAATCTGTTGAATAATAAAGAAAGTCACTGGGTATTATATTCGCGTCCATAAACGATGCCATGAGCAGGGGAACAATGCGGGTCCAAAGTTAAACACAATGTATGTAGAGGGTAGTTTCAACATCACGATGGGTATTATGAATAACAGAGTATTATCGGATCAAACGTGCTCAGAAATAGGATTCGCAGCTGCGTGTTTGCTGGCGTCCAGCTTACTTAATCGCCATGACTTCCGGTCGTTTTGGAATTACATGACGCCATCCCCATTCGATGCTGGACGAGGTAACGCCAAATATGAGGATAAAGGGGATTTTTTTTAAATACGCGTGTTTCATTTTTTATCGTTTATCAGTCTCCTCTTCTCCTGATCAAGTAAAGATCTCAAATCAAAGAATTAAGAATCTAAATGCGTAACTATATTATTAGCCAATTTTTTCAACTTTTTATTGCACGATTTTGCTTTTGCAAATGCAGACAAGCTTTTACATGCCGACTTGTCCATGTCACTTACTCATCTGCTATAACACACATGTCCAATATATAATTTCAATTTCTTTTTCTTTATTTTTTAATCCTGATTCTTGTAATTTAACCGCGATAAATTATACATACATTAGCAAAAATTTTGTAAAACCTGCATTTCTTCCTGCGTTGAAATTACCAGTTTCCTTCACAGCGATATAATTACGGAACCATCTGCTGCATGCGAACATGGAGTACGAATGCAAAATTCTACATATAATTAATTAAAATGGTATTGTTTATAAGAATATATTATTTATTAATTCAATAAGAATTAAGTGAAAATCAATTAATAAATAATAAATTATGTCTCTTTTCTTTGAGCGATACACAATTATGAATACGCAAATCTAAAAAAAAACTGTCCTTATATTAATTTTTCATTATTCCACAATGATAAACTGCTTTAACATAAGATGCTTCTAGTTTTATACTAACTTAAAATAATGAAATATTCAATATAAATTATAAATAATGAAATATTCAAATATTTTTTCATTACTATTTAAATATTGTTTATAAATCAAAAGTATACAGCCATGCACATACATATATAGATATCCACTTTGTTATAGTTTTTGACATAAATATTAATAGAAAGTAAATTAATATAATATGGATTGAAAATTAAGTTTTTAATATAATAGATTTTAAATCTGAAATATTGCTTATTTAACATTTTAAAACGTTACTATTGCCAAATAAGGAACGTGGCATCGAGGTGCGAAAGGAAAACGAATAGTAACAGAAAGAAGTAAAGTCGAGGAAGAGTCCTTGCTTGAATAGCACACGCACAATTGTCTTATACTCGTTAAAAATGAACGGCTGCGCGTGATGCGAAAGTTATAATATTATTCGAAAGTCTTTCAAAGTTGAGGCGGTTCGAATGGTCGGTTTTACAACGGAGCACCGACATCGCACAATGACGGTTCTAGTGCTTTTACATATCGTAAAGTGCGTACACGCGCGAGTTGAGGAGCGCATATAAATCGGCTTGCCTGCTGTTATGTCTCCCGCGTGCAAAGGACCGTTTATCATTTTATGCTCTTGGAGCCTTTCAAGTTCTTTTCTGATTCCTTTATCCTTTTTTCCTTAATGATACAGTTGGCCCTCAATAATTTAATTAAATTGAAATGTCGCAAAATAAAAATAGCTAAATTAAAAGATGTTCTTTTTTATTTGTAAGAATTGATAAAAATGCGAAAAAACGTGCATTTTGCAAGATTCTTTATTTTTTTAAATTAATTATTATCAATTTTTATTGAAGTAAATTATAAATCAAAGTTAAATAATAATTGCATTTTTTACAGTAAATTAATTTTCATTAAATAAAGATTAATTACAAATTAATCTATAATACTATAATAATTAATAAACTCATCAACTCTTTTTGCGTTTATATTTGTATCAAGCTAATAATTTTTTTCAAAAAATGATAAAAAATAAAAAACTTGTATCACGTATATTAATATGTAACAAAAATAGATAAACATATTAAAATATAAACGTAATTAAAAAATATTAAAAAATATTAACGTAATGTTTTCAAAATTGCCCAATGTATTTCGTGTTTTTCAAATTTTACACACACACACACATACACACACACACTATACATATGTTTGCGTATGAAAAAGAGAAGAATGCAATTTATCAAAATTTCTCAATAAAAAATAAATCTCTTAATACGTTGCTTTTGATTTGAATAACTTGAAATATTATTATCTGTACGAATAGGAGGAAATATATACAATTAATATTTAAATTCATA